TTTTAAGTATGCGAGCATTTTTCTTATTGGAATAACCAATAAGCTATTACGTACTGGACGCTCTTATGTTAGTTTCATATATACCGCAATTTAAATTTTCTCTTGTTTTAAGTAGTTGCATATCTTGTGTGGAAAGATTTTCTCTCCATCCAAACATAAATTATTTCCCTCTTCCGCAGTTTTTAGGTAGAGATTCCGTCCTTTAATTCTCCCTGCAATAAGAAGACTTTCCAACTCCCAATCATGGGCTAACAACCATTGCTCCATTTCCACGTTTATGCAATAATTATAAATCTCATGTTAATAGGATGAGATTAATTAGTCTCCCTAATGTATTTGATGACGCTAAAAACACTCAAAAAAGCTTGATTATTATATATATGCCACTGTTCTCTCACTAATACATACATGTCGTCTGTTAATTTAAAACTAAAGCCTTTTTGTGGAGCATTTAGCGCATTTGATTTCATCAACAATATTCTTAATCAATCAACGTGTCCATCAATTGTTGCGGCAATGAGTTTGCAATTAGATCTTTAATTTTATTATTTATAATCTGATTTCATTTAACATAAATATATTTTTCAATACAAATTGCATAAAAAAGTATAGTATAAAAATTAAAATTATTAAAATATTTTAAATAAATTTTTTATATTTATTTATTAATAATATTTTAATAATTTTAATATCTAAACTGTAGTTTTTTTATACAATTTGCATTGAAGAACTCCAACTTCTTTATTTAATTTGAGAATCAAAGAATGAGTTTAACTACCAATTGCAAGTGCACCGTGCACTTTTTTTTTAGTTCCTTATTTTTTTTTCCCCTTGTTTTGTCTATATTGCATTAATTAACAAATGCAGAATCCACGTTTTGATAAAGTAATAATAATCTAGTTGCTTAAAAAATGAGCTAAATCTGAGCATCAGTCTCAATTAGGTTAGTGTTTGAATGATCATGAGGCACACGATAAATATATTATTGCAGCATATTCTTAATATATTGTCATTTGTGATTCACACAATTACTGTGCACATGGACCATTTTCTGGGTTTCCGTTTGCACATGGATGCTAGTGGCTACATTAATTTCTCAAAAAAAGAAAAGGTTTCTCATTTAACAGTTTAGACATCAGAAGTACTATTGCTTCTGGTGGGGCATAGATTGTAGATTTTTTTAAGAGTTTCTTATTTTATTTTACCATTTAAATTATATTAAATTATAAAATATTAATTATAAATTAAATAACAAAAATTTTAAATTTTAAAGGGTTCATCCCAATCAAATAATTTAAGTTGCACAATTTAAGCTGTACAAAATTTTTTTATTTTTAAACGGCACTTCAATAAATTTCTAAATTATGAAATATATATTGAGATATTGGTACCTTAAATCTGAACACATTGATGTAGTACACATGAAGAATATCCCAAAAGAATCTACAAAAGTAGTTGCCCCATATAATTGATACCCACGTTCCTCAGCTCCCATCTCGATCAGTTTATGCATAATTTTTTGACTTCTCTATGCAGTTCGAATTATTGTTAGGTATGAGTATTCAATTTAAAATTAATTGGTAACAATTACAGTGCAACAGTCACATATCAACCTCCTTTAATTGCATGAGTTTGACATCAATAACTTCATGTACTAAAGAGCATTTGATCTAAAATTAATTGTTTGTGTATCTCAGTTCATGTTTGGGAAATTAATTCACATGATGTTGGGAGGCTTAATTGGGGTTTGTTTCGATTATCCAGCAAGACTTTATAACCTCCTCTATACTACCCCTGGATAACAAGTTAATTAGACATTATAACAATCTACACGAGACACAATAGCAAAGATGAAGAGGGAAATTCTATCATTTGCATAATTTTTGTCACAACAATTTCCTTTCTACATTATTTTGAAAATGAGTAGTAATTAAAGTAATTCTTTTGCAGGCTTACAATAATTGAACAGACAAAAATGAAAAAGGAATGCATAGCTTTTTATCCAATCTACGAAATCCTATTTTGATTGCACCAATCGAGGATAATTGGGACAAGAGATGCATCAAACGAACACATGCTTAAAGTTCCGTTTCTTTGTTTCGTCACTTTTTTCGGGTAATATCGGTTTGGTAGTTAGAAGTCTTTGCACATGTGACACGTGCATGTTGTTTCAATTGAATGTCAAGTAGCCATTGGTTCACGTGTCCACATGCTACCCTATACTTAGGTCTCCTTAGCCCTGTCTTATTCCTTTATTTACTGTATCCACGTACTATAAAATATTTATAGTCAATTTTGGTTTTTGATTAATTTGATGTCAGTTTTTAATTTTGATTATTAATTTATAAATTTATACTCAATAAATTATTGGTTTAAATTTTTTGTTTTGACCTTTTATCAATTTTGTTTGTTTAAATTTTGACAACTAGAAAAAAAAAAAAACTAATAACAATAACAATAACAATAACAATAATCCTAGGCAAAACCTTACTTAATCGAATGAAATTAATCTGATTCTTAGGCGACTAATCAAATGAAGTTAATGAAAAGGAGGCAAAAGTAATTGACCTTTCCAAATTATCTTATAACCTTGTCATTAATTTCTCATTCTAAAATAGTTAATTTTTTTTTTTTTTATAGAATAGGGCACGTAAGTAATTCAACTTGTAAGAGAAAAAGGTGAGAAGAGGGGTTATATAAATTTTAGTTCTTATCAAACAGGTAAGAACTCCTTTCACATTTAAAGTTTTGGCCAGTTAGCCTATAACCTTTCCCCCTAAAATATCTGAACTTAAAAGAGCTATATATTGAGCTAGACAGCATTACTTGAGAGAGTTGCTAGTGGCTGTGGGAAAACATCCTTCTAAAAAATTAATTACACCCCAATTATAATTCAATTACTAGTACTATTTATTGGACCTACAAACTTTACCTGAAAAAACTTCCAACTGCCAAAACCAACTACCCTTACTTATTGTATCAGAATTAGTGGTAATCATACTAATCAAACAAATAATCCTGTCCCATGAAGGGCTAAAAGATCCAAAGAAGAGAAAGAAAAAAAAACACATTGGATTCTTCAAAAAGCTGAAAAAATAAATTAAAAATGATAATTAATACTAATTAGTCTAATAATTGTGCTGGATTGGAGACAAAGGAGATATGATTTGGTCTCTGTAGGCCCCACATGGAAGTGATGCATGCATTGCATTTTCGTGAAGGCACATGGAGAGGCACATTGGATGGGGAACATTATTTTGAGATATGGTTTAATGTAGGGTACATCATCAAATGGGGCATCTTCTTAAATGGGATTTCCTAAAGTTGCATCTATACGTAGATAGAGAGAGAAAGAAGAAAACAAAATGTCATAACATCGATCATATCACAAAAGGATAGGCTATTGCTTGGTCGTAGCAACTTGAATCGATAAAGTCAGGATTAAAGTTTTATAAATTTATATTATAAGAATTAAAAGCCAACAAATTTGAATTTTGTTTGAAACAATAACATTTGAACTTTGAACAATGGACATCTAAGTCATAAAAGCAATATGTAAATCCTTAAGTAACCATAATTCACTGAAACTTTATCATACGTGCACGCATAAACAATCAACTACTTATGTAATTATTTGATTTGCTTACCGTAAATTAACATCAAAACTTTCCTACCCTACACATATTTTTCCACAACTTTTCTTCAATGGAAGCGAATGAGAGAACCCTTTACCTAAATCATAGTTTTGTTCTTCGTATTATTATTATTTTTGGTTAAAATGTGAGGTCCACGAGATCTCTCTAATTGATTCCCCATACAAATTGCGGAAGAAAAAATTAAATTCTCCACGTCAACTGAAGTCTATCGCCGTTTCTGGTGGCCAAATGGGTGAA